TTTGGCATATGGAGCTGCACTTTGACCTCTAACAGGGGAGCATTCCATGGCCCGCTCTCCAACTTAGAGATAAACTCGCTGAAGACATTATTTTCTTTGCTTTGCACCTCATGTGACTTCTCTGAGTAGGAGGGATTCTGCTTTCATTTCTTTTAATGGTAACAGTGGAATCACTAATTTCCTACTAAAAGAGGCTTATTCAGTATATTTTTGTTTTGGTTTGGGCTCCCTTTGATGGTGGCTTGTTTGATATTTGCAACTTTTTCCTAACAAGACTAGAAAAAACAATCTAGACTACTTCTCTTTGATTTGGCTTAGAACTAAGTGTGAGATTTCCAAGTGGAAAGTGAGTATCAACCTAATAAGCTTTTATTTTAGGTGGTTCAAAATGTTCTCTGTAAAACTGATCTAAAAATCTGTTTGTGTTCTGGAATTTTCTTATTGCACTATCTTAATTTTTTTTTTTTTTTTTTTTTTTTTTTGAGATGGAGTCTCACTCTGTCTCTGGAGTGCAATGTAGGCTGGAGTACAATGGTGCAATCTGGGCTCACTGCAATCTCCGACCCCCAGGCTCAAGCGATTCTCCTGCCTCAGCATCCTGAATAGCTGAGATTGCAGGTGCCCACCACCAGTCCGGCTAATTTTTGTATTTTTAGTAGAGATGGGGTTTTGCCATATTAGCTAGGCTGGTCTTGAATTCCTGACCTTACGTAATCTACCCGCCTCAGCCTCTGAAAGTGCTAGGATTACAGGCATAAGCCACAGTGCCCAGCCACACTATCTTAATTTTTAAACTAGTCCTTTTACTGGTTCACTCCTTCCACAGCTATTTAAAGAGCACCCCTCATTTATGAATATAGAGACTGAGAACTGAGAATGGGTAAGTAACAGAGAAGCGACGCTAATGGGCACTCTTTCTGCTACACCAGTGTGGTCCATGCAGGTTATGTATTCACTGATTCCGTTTCCCTTTTCTCTTGGGTACCCAACGACACTCCTTTTTCCAGGCCCCTTATGGTTTGGTTGAGTCCATGTGACTAAGTTCTATCCAGGCACCACAGTGGCAACGGGTCACACTGCAATGACCCAATCTAGCAATTCCCAACCCATAGACCAGCCCTCCTTCACCAGAACTGCTCTTTGTTTTTTTTTTGTTTTTTTGTTTTTGTTTTTGTTTTGTTGTTGTTTTTTTTTTTTTTTTTTTTTTTTTTTTTTTTTTTTTTGAGACGGAGTTTCACTCTTGTTACCCAGGCTGGAGTGCAATGGCGCGATCTTGGCTCACCGCAACCTCCGCCTCCTGGGTTCAGGCAATTCTCCTGCCTCAGCCTCCTGAGTAGCTGGGATTACAGGCACGTGCCACCATGCCCAGCTAATTTTTTGTATTTTTTTAGTAGAGACGGGGTTTCACCATGTTGACCAGGTTGGTGTCGATCTCTTGACCTTGTGATCCACCCGCCTCGGCCTCCCAAAGTGCTGGGATTACAGGCTTGAGCCACCACGCCTGGCCCGAGGAGATAGCTTTATAATAAACAGATGAGTATTTTAATCAGCCAACACTCAGGCACAGCTGCAGGAGACAATAGAGTGAGGTCCCCAAATACTTACACCAACCTGTACTGAACAAACGTCAACCGAAGAGAAGTCAGAGCATGAGGTGATCTGTAGCCAAGAACAGGAATATGGAAGAGCAAAGGCACACGTGGATGATGGAGTTAAAAACCACTACATTCAGCACAGGCAAAACCTGAGAGGGAAAGGTACTTTACATTGATCGGCAAAACTGAGGGTTTTTTTTTTTCCAAGTTCAGATAGTTAACTACAAACAGGTTATTCACCTGAATGAATGCCCAATGGCACAGGTGAACATCAAAGGAAGGGTCCTTCTGTGCACCTGGCCTCACTGACCCCATCCACTAAATGCCCACAGATAGGACCACCTCTTTGTGCTCAATGCTTTTCCAAACCACTTCCACAAGAAAGTGACAGCCTCATCTGAGACCCACTGAGTTACCTCCTCCAGGTTCAATGGGCAAGCAGATCCTGGATTTCATTTGGGCCTGAAGATAACCCGGTGAGATAACCTGGTAGGTATCATTATCGTCATGCATCCATGTAGAAACTGAGGCCTAAGAGTGCGTAAGCAGTAGAGAAGCGATGCTAACCAGGGCTCTTTCTGCTATATCAGTGTGGTCTATGCTGGTTATATATTTACTGATTCCATTTCCCCTTTTCTCTTGGGCACCCAAGTAAACTCCATTTTCCAGCTCCCTTAGGGTATGATTGAGTCCCTGTGACTGAGGTCTGGCCAGTGGAAAGTAGACAGAGTGATGTTGATGCTTCCAGGCCTGCTCCCCAGCCCCAGCACTCCGTATACCACCCTGGTAAAGGCAATCATCCACTCTTCCCTTTGCACAGTGATCCCTGGAGCCATGAGCTGAAGATGGGGGAAAGAGTTTGGTCCCCTGCAGGACTGAGTGGAGCAAATACCCCCTACTCCCTGGCACAACCCCATTTGAATGTCACAGAACGATGCAGGGGATTCGTATTGCGTTAAACCACTAATATTTAGAGACTAATTCATCGTAAATGCAAGAGTTTCCATAACTAATGCATCTAGGGTTTCCCTGTCTATGGTTTTAGACAATACCTGACAAAGCAGTGAGTAACTTTTAATCATTTACTAAGAAAGTTGTTCCCTTTGCAATGCTGTGGCATCCATGAGAGAGTGGATAGAAGGGGTAGCTTGTGTTTTCTAAACAACAAATATTTCAAATACACATGCAAAGAAGATACCCAAATGGCCAACAAGCACATGAATAGATGCTTAACATCATTTCTCATTCAGAAAATGCAAATCAGAACAATGAGATACCACTTCACCCCCACTAGGATGGAACAAAACAAAAACAGAAAATAACAAGTGTTGGCGATGATGTGGGGAAACTGGAACCCTTTCATTGTTGGCAGAAATGTAAAATGTCACAGCTGCTATGACAAACCGTTGGGTAGTCCTTCAAAAAGTTAAATGCAGAATTTTGTACAGCCCAGCCATTGCATTCCCTGAGAATATACCTGAAAGAATTGAAAATAGGCACCCAAACATGTATTTGTAAAAGAATGTTCACAGTAGCATTACTCACAAAAGTGAAAAGATAGACGTAATAGCCCACTCAAATGTCCATTGGTAAATGAACAGATAAACAAAAAGTGGTATAAACAGGTACATACAACAAAATATTACTCAACAATAAGAAGGAATGGTGCTACAATGGGGATGAACCTGAAAAACACTGTGCTACGTGAAAGAAGCCATCAACCAAAGACTGCATATTGTATGGGTCCATTACACAAAATGCCTAGAACAGGTAAATCCGAGAACAGAATTAAGATTAGTTGTTGGCCGGGCGCAGTGGCTCAAGCCTGTAATCCCAGCACTTTGGGAGGCCGAGGCGGGTGGATCACAAGGTCAAGAGATCGAGACCATCCTGGTCAACATGGTGAAACCCCGTCTCTACTAAAAATACAAAAAAAATAGCTGGGCATGGTGGTGCGTGCCTGTAATCCCAGCTACTCAGGAGGCTGAGGCAGGAGAATTGCCTGAACCCAGGAGGCGGAGGTTGCAGTGAGCCGAGATCGCGCCATTGCACTCCAGCCTGGGTAACAAGAGCGAAACTCCGTCTCAAAAAAAAAAAAAAAAAAAAAAAAAAGATTAGTTGTTGCCAGGATCTGGAGAGATGTGACAATAGGGAGTGACTGCTTAACGGGTGCGGGAATTTCTTTTGGGGAAATGAAAGTATTTCAGAACTAAATATAGGTGGTGTTTGCACGACATTGTGAATATACTAAATACCACTGGACTATATGCTTTTGAATGGTTAATTTTGTGTTATGTGATATTCACCTCAATTCTTTAGCAGAGCTCACACTAGTGTGTGGTCTCCCTAGGCCTGTGTCCATCCAGACCTCAACAGTTGCTCCTGGGAGCAAAGGCGGTATCCAGGGAGACTCTGGCCTCTGGCTGGGCTGAGTGACTTCTCCCCCAGTGCCTTTGAACGCTCTGCATCCAGCTCAGCGGTGAGCAATGTTGTTAGCAGCAAAGGGCAGAGGGGCTGGGGCAGGAGTGGAGTGGCAAAGATACTGAATGTGGAGACCAAAGGTGACAGTGTCCTTGCCCCGCTGCCTGCTTTAGACCTCAGGGGACGTGCCATTTCCTCTCCGATAAAGTCTAAGCTCTTAGGGTACCACGGGCTTGCCTGGCTGGGTCTTCGTCGACATTTACAAGGAGCCTCTCCCACAGCCCTCCATGGGCTCCCTCTACCCAGCAGGCCGCATGCCCAGTTCTCCCTGGACCTCCCCAAGCCCCTCTCTGCTAACCCCGTTTAAACAGGAAGACACAGACCAAGCCAGGTCTTCTCTCACAAGTCTCCCCTACCACGGCTGCATCACACCACAGATAGAGTCGGCCCTGGATACTCGGGTACTCGCGGGCAGGGTCACAGTCCTTCTAAATTCTGAAGATCTAGGTCTTGCTGCACTCCCACACCCTACAAATAGGGTCAGGCCCCTCTCTGCACCTCCAGGCTCCCAGCTCACCTCCCTCAGTGCCACAGCCGGTTACTTTTCCTTTCTCCCTGGCGAAGGAGGGCAAGGCTTGGAGCTTGGTGACTCAGGCCCAGCCCAGCCCGGGGCACCCAGGAGCCCCTCAGTAACTACTCAGACAAGTTAGGGGCCAGCTCCACCGTGCACTCCACATCCTGATGTCTCTGAGCCTCGACTGTCACTCGACGTCACAACCCTGTCCAGAGCACCTCTCCGGGCAGGAGGCCATGGCACACATGCAGCTGCCTGGGGCAAGCCGGCTGTATCACCTTCTTTCAGGAAAGCGGAGGGTCCTGGTGGGCCCTGGAAAAGCAGCCAAGACCTTTGCAAGGCAAGGAGGGTGAGGGCGGAGACCTGGCGGTTCCTAACACCAGACTCCCGCCCCCACCGCGCCGGGTCCCGCCTTCCCCACTGCCCCACAAGCTCCCCGACCCGGGGCGCCCCGCCCGGCCCGGCTCCTCACCCAACCCAGCCGCGACTGTCTCCGAGCCCCGGGGGCCAGGTGTTCGGGCGCGCCACGATGCGGCCGCGGATGTGGCTCCTCCTGGCCGCGCAGCTGGCAGGTAAGGCGGGAGGCGCGCGGGCTGACCGAGGGTCTGCGCTCCCCGGGCCTGAGCGGGAAGGTGAGAAGTAGCTGTCCTGGCCACGGTCCTGGCAGGGTGCAGCGTCGAACGCGCGGCTGAGGCGCGCCCGGGAGGCGGCTTGGCAGGCTAAAATGCCCCCGATCGCATTATCCAGGGGACCGGAGAGCCCCTGGACTTAGGCTTAGGCCACCTCCCCACAAAAGCCTGGACCCAGGACAAGGGGAGGCAGTGAGAGAGGGAAGGAAAGACAGGGGCGCCAGAGGTCCCGAGGGGAAGGAAACGGGTCCCCGCCCAGGGTCCCCGCAGGATGTGCTCCCTGGATGGTGCAGGGCTCAGTTCTGGTCTTGGAGCCCCACCCTTGGTGCACGCCGAGGGTCCTGGGGACACATTTTATTACTTCCGGGGAAATGTGTAGTACAATCTGACAAGCATCGGGCCCTCCCAATTCTCGAGGGCTGCGGCAGGGGGATCCCTCTGGCTCCCTTTCTCCCTGATGTTCCGGGTGTTGACTGTCACGGGTAGCGTGGCTCTCTGGGAAGCCGCTGGAGGTTGGGTTGTTGGAGTTGGAATGGAGCATCTAGATTGTCCTTCTGAGTAAGCCTAGCCAGACTGCCTTCTGGAAGAAGCCTCCACACACCCGGAAAACTGCCCAAATTGGTCGACTAGCTCTCATGCCCAAAAAGCCCAAAGCTGGTCATCCTGCCAGGGGGTGACAAGGCCTGCCAGCTCTGGGCTCTGGCCCAGTGAGCGCAACGTCATAAATAAGTAGAAAGAGCCCAGGCAGTCCAGAGCACTAAAGTCATTACTGCTGGATCTAGAAACAGGTCCCTCTGAGAATGAAATCCCTGAGTTACAGAGGGCAGCATGTTGTGAGGCCTGGCTCCCTGTCCAGTGCACAGCAGGGACTTGGCCATGGCCCTGAGTATTCAGTCCCAAATACTCAGGGACAAAAAGCAAGTGAGCCCCGGGAAGAGCCGATGTGCCTCAGCCAGGACAGGAAATGCACACTCACAGCCCAGGCCTTGCTCTTAGAGGAGTTGCTTCTGGGTTTTCTTGGAAGGTCTTCAGGCATCTGTTTACTTGCAGCCCCACTGGGTGCTCATGAGCACATAACCACCATCCAGGAAAGGATTGCAGGTTTCCTCAATTCAGTGGTTCAAAGTCAGATTCTGGGGTCCCACAAGCTGAGTTTGAATCTGAATCTACCATATACTGGCTGTGTGACCTTGAGCAGGTCTTTAACCTTTCTGAGCTTCTCTTTTCTTCCCTTCCTTCCTTCCTTCCTTTCTTTCTTTTTCTTTCTTTCTCTCTCTCTTTCTCTCTTTCTTTCTCTTTCCTTCTTTCTTTCTTTCAAGACAGAGTCTCAGTCTGTCACTGAGGCTGGAGTGCAATGGTGCGATCTCGGCTCACTGCAACCTCCATCTCCCAGGTTCAAGCAATTCTCCCTCAGCCTCCTGAGCACCTGGAGTTACAGGCATGCACCATCAGAGCCAGCTAATTTTTTTTTTTTTTTTTGGTATTTTCAGTAGAGACAGGGTTTCATCATATTGGCCAGGCTGATCTCAAACTCCCGACCTCGTGGTCCACCTGCCTCAGCATCCCAAAGTGCTGGAATTACAGGCATGAGCCACTGCGGGCAGCCCCTGAGCCTCTCTTTTCTCATGCATAAAATGGGTGTAAAACAGTATCTCCACCACAGGATTTGCTGAGGATCAAATGAGACAATGTATGCACCATGCCACGCACAGCTCAATAAACTGGCATTATTGATTCGTATTGACTCCCCCAAGAAGTCAGTGACCAGAAACAAGGAAAAATCCCTGCTCTCTTGAAAAGGCAGTTTGGGGAAAAAAGGTGTTTGGGGAAAAAAAGAGGAAGCCCAGCAGCCACTTGTGCCCAGGCATCACTTCCTTCTTGTTTACATTTTTATTTTTTAATTTTTTTTTTTAAGAGACAGGATCTCGCTATGTTGCCCAGGCTGGTCTCAAATCCTGGGCCCAAATGATCCTCCTGCCTCGGTCTCCCAAAGTGCTAGGATTACAAACATGAGCCACCACACCCGTCCCCATCATTTCGTTCTTGATGCAAGTGAAAGCTCGGAGTGGTCCAGGAGCGAAGTGAAAAAGTAGAAGTTCATTTCATCAGTGTCGGAGTAAGCCATTACGGGGCCACAGAGTCTAAGCCACAAGTGCAGGCAGGATTTTAAACATGAGCTGCTTGTAAGCCAGCTCCTCCTGGCCACACAAACACTCCCTCTGGTCCCCTCTGCCTGCCCGGGTCTGGGTCCTCTCTGAGCCTCCCCACTCCTGCGTCTCTGCCCTGGCCTGCAATGTCTCCCTCCACTCCACAGCCAAAATGAAAGCTCACCAGGTCAGACTGTGTTTGTTGGAAGCTGTGCAGCCTTGGTGTGAATAGAATACATTCTGATCCTTCTCCTTGAGATTTAATTTACTTCCAGTAACAACCCTGCGATATGAGACACACGGACAGTATTTACCTGCACACATGGCCGTACAGTTCGCAGTGTGCGTTTTTGGACAGCATTTCATTTCTTTCCAACCCTCAAAGGCGGCCAGGACAAGAGCACCAAGTCCCCCTCGTTTCATAAGAAGACAGAGGCTCAGTGACAGGACTGAGGTCTCACAGCAGGCATGGGCAGAGGGTGAGTTCAGGGCCAGGCCTGCGAGTCCTGCTCTGTCCTCATGAACAAGCCCCTGCTTGCGAGGTGCTTCTCGTTGGAGTCTAAGATGAACTCTCAGCCCTGCTTCTGGGCTGTCTGCCCTTCCACTGGGGAATGGGGACCCAGTGACCCATCAATTGCTGGGCTGAGGGGTCACGGGCTGTACTTGTACCTACCACGGGATAGTAAACTCTTTTTTGCTGTCTGTCCTCACTGTCCAGCAACGGACAGACCAGCCACGTGCTCTGCTGTGATTCTGGGTTCCTCTACCAGCCTGTCCTGGGTCTCCTTCAGCAGTTAGTAGCCTACTGAAGGGTTATACCTCCAGTGGCAGCCAGAGGAGGTCAAAGGCAACCAGCTTTGGCTTCAGACTTTGAATCCTAGGCCACTTACTTACTGTAAGTGGGACTTTGAACAAGTAACTTTATGCCTCAGTTTCCTCATCTGTGTAATGAAGATTAACAGTCCTGAAGCCAGCCTTGTGCAGTGGTGCATGCCTATAGTCCCAGCTACTTGGGAGGCTGAGGTGGGAGGATAGATTGAGCCCAGGAGGTCAAGGCTGCAGTGTACCACGATAGTGCCTGTGAATAGCCACTCCATTCCAACCTGGGCAACGTAACAAGAACCCATGTCTTTAAAAAAATTCTTAAGTTGATTTGAGGCTAGATTGAGATCATTTATGCAAGGGCCAGGCAGATAGATACACAAAACACAAATGGCAGCTCTCTCCTTTGTGCCTTTGTAAAGCTGAACTTAGCAAACACCTGCCTTCCAGATGATCTCCTGGGAGGTGGGGTATGTGAACTCTGAGCCCAGGAGCCACCAACTGTGTTCAACACAGCCCCTGAACCCAGTAATTGGGCAGGTGGCTTTTCCTTTGACACTTGACTCAGTGTGAATGTGAGGTCCCGCAGTGTGGCTGAGAAAATATATGATGTCTCTGTTCTTGGCTTCTCCTAGCTCTCCATGGCAACTCAGTCCTCCAGCAGACCCCTGCATACATAATGGTGCAAACCAACCAAATGGTGATGCTGTCCTGCAAGGCCATCTCCTCCAGTACCACACGCATTTACTGGCTGAGACAGCTCCATGCCCCAAGCAGTAACAGTCATCATGAGATCCTGGCCTTCTGGGATTCCTCAAAAGGGACTATCCACAGTGAAGGAGTGGAACAGAAGAAGATAACTGTGTTTCGAGATGGAAGTTCGTTCTTTCTCAATCTCACAAGAGTGAAGCTGGAGGACAGTGGCACCTACTTCTGCATGGTCATCGGGAGCCCCACTCTGATCTTCGGGACGGGAACTCAGCTGAGTGTGGGTAAGAAGCAGGCTGAATGTTATTAATGAGGACTAAGCACTGATTGTGTGTCAGGCACTGGGACCACCGTGCTTCAGTGCACCCCACTCTGCAGCTGTGACTAACGGTACTGCTGCTAAAGTAACAGAAAGTGCATGTGGAGACTTACCCAAGCCAAGCACCTCCAAGTGTTTACACAGTTAGCTCGCTTAATGCTGCCAACCACCCTGGAAGGCAGTCTGTTACCTAACCACTTCAGATGGGAATGAGGTGAAAATGGAAGAGACAGGTCAGAGGTAGAGATAGGCATTATGCTTTTTTTTTTTTTTTTTTTTTTTTTTTTGAGACAGAGCTTCGCTCTGTTCTCCAAGCTGGAGTGCAGTGGTGTGATCTTGGCTCACTGCAGGCTGCCTCCACCTCCCAGGTTCAAGTGATTCTCCTGCCTCAGCTTCCTGAGTAGCTGGGATTACAGGCATGCACCACAACACCCAGATAATAATAATTATTATTATTTTTGAGACAGAGTCTAGCTCTGTCACTCAGGCTGGAGTGCAGTGGTGCAATCTCGTCTCACTGTCACCTCTGCCTCCTGAGTGATTTTCTTGCCTCAGTCTCCCAAGTAGCTGGGATTACAGGTGCCCGCCAGCATGCCCAGCTAATTTTTGTATTTTTAGTACAGATGGGATTTCACTGTGTTGGCCAGGCTGGTCTCAAACTTCTGACCTCATGATCTGCCTGCCTCAGCCTCCCAGAGTTCTGGGATTACAAGCGTGAGCCACCGTGCCCAGCCAGTTTTCTGTTTTTTTGTTTTTGTTTTTGTTTTTTTTTGAGACAGAGTTTCGCTCTTGTTACCCAGGCTGGAGTGCAATGGCGCGATCTCAGCTCACCGCAACCTCCGCCTCCTGGATTCAGGCAATTCTCCTGCCTCAGCCTCCCGAGTAGCTGGGATCACAGGCACATGCCACCATGCCCAGCTAATTTTTTGTATTTTTAGTAGAGACGGTGTTTCACTATGTTGACCGGGATGGTCTCGATCTCTCGACCTCGTGATCCACCCGCCTCGGCCTCCCAAAGTGCTGGGATTACAGGCTTGAGCCACCGCGCCCGGTCCAGTTTTCTGTTTTTTTAGTGAAAAAGAGATTTCACCATGTTGGCCAGGCTGGTCTCCAACTCCTGACCTCAAGTGATCCACCCGCCTTAGCCTCCCAAAGTGCGGGGTTTACAGGCATGAGCCACCGCACCAGGCCAGGCATCATGCTTATTTTGGGGACAGGGCAGTGCTGTCCTTCAGGCCACATCAGGGACATCTGAAGCTACAACTGGATTGGGCTGAGTCCCCTGGCCTTATAGTGGTGTTAGAAATCCCCACAGAGTGTGCGCACAGGGAAAGGAGGCCATCACTGCCCTGACATACCCAGTGAGAGCATTTCTAGGGGCAGTGGAGGGACAGGTGAACTCATGTGCTCTGTGAGGGCCTACCACTCAAACTCACACCTGAGTTGAATGTAGTAAGGAGACTGAGCCAGGCTCAGCTCTGCTTGCAAACTTGCCATGCTTCCTTCCCTGGGCCTCCGTTTTCTCTTCTGTGTCATGGGGCTGCTGATGGCCCCCAGGACCCACTTAATCCCAGAGAAGCTGCAGACCCGTAACTTAAGTCAGCAAGTCCAGCAGACACATATTTCCAGCCACAGATGGAATTCTAAAATTTTTAAGTCATGTTTAAAAAGACAAAAAAGCAAGTAAAATTAATTTGAATATGTTTTATTTAACTTATTAACTATATTTTCACTTCAACATGTAACCAATATAATTATTGCTGAAATATTTTACAGTTAGTATTCATACCAAGTGTTCGATAAGCATTTTATATAAAACATACAGCTCATCTAGAATGAGACTGGCCACATTTCAGGTGCTCAGCAACACCTGTGTCGAGTGGCCACCGTATTGGACAGAAGGCATTTAGCTATGGGTAGGGAGGGATTGTGGCAGTAACCCTCATAGCCTGGCTTTGGCTTTAGCCCCATGGGGGTGGGGGCAACCCTTTGCTGGGCTCCCACTGCCCTGCTTCCTGCTCACCAGAAGGCACTAAAAGCCGCAAGGAATTAGACCTAGAAATTAGACCACTCAGCGTGAGGAAGTGCAGGGGCAGCAGGGGACAGTGGCATGATTAGGAAGACACAAACCAAAGCAATGCCCCACCACCTCTTGCCAACCTGGGAGGGAGTATTGCAGGCAAGAAGCCGAAGCGTCCGATCTCGTGGCAGGTCCACTGGTTTTTGTATTGAAAAATGGGCTTCGGGAGTTTGGGGTTTTGGGTTTGGGTTTGGCTGATGGTTTTTGTCTCTGTAAGCCCCACACCTTTCCACTCATCTGAGAACGTGGAGGGTGGAATAAGCACAGCTAGTTTCTAGAGCTGCCCACCACCTCCACCCAACCCCACTCACTCCTGGCTTCTGTGTTTCCAAACCCCAGTCCCCTCCCAGCACCGCAGGAATGGCAATGCCTCCCTACAGCCGGGGCTTGCGACCAGACCTGCTTCTCCCCAGGGCTTGTGACCAGACCTGCTTCAGAGCCAGAACCCACCTTCTCATCCAAGAAAGGCTTTTTAGAGGAGGAAGCTGGGTGGTTGAGAAAGTGTTTTGGGAAAGACAGGGCCTTTTTCAGGCCCTTAAGTATATCATGGGCTCAAAGTTTTGTTACATTTATTTATTTAGATGGAGTCTTGCTCTGTCGCCCAGGCTGGAGTGCAATGGCGCAATCTTTTTTTTTTTTTTTTTTTTTTTTTGAGACGGAGTTTCGCTCTTGTTACCCAGGCTGGAGTGCAATGGCGCGATCTCGGCTCACCACAACCTCCGCCTCCTGGGTTCAGGCAATTCTCTTGCCTCAGCCTCCTGAGTAGCTGGGATTACAGGCACACGCCACCATGCCCAGCTAATTTTTTGTATTTTTAGTAGAGACGGGGTTTCACCATGTTGACCAGGATGGTCTCGATCTCTTGACTTCGTGATCCACCCGCCTCGGCCTCCCAAAGTGCTGGGATTACAGGCTTGAGCCACCACGCCCGGCCTATGGCGCAATCTTGACTCACTGCAACCTCCGCCTCTCAGATTCTAGCAATTCTCCTGACTCAGCCTCCCGAGTAGCTGAGATTACAGACACACGCCGCCACACCAGGCTAATTTTCTGTATTTTAGTAGAGACGGGGTTTCAATGTGGTGCCCAGGCTGGTCTTGAACTCTGACCTCAAGTGATCCATCCACTTCAGCCTCCCAAAGGGCTAGGATTACAGGCATGAGCCACCGTGCCCAGTTAATCTATTGTTTGTTTGTTTATTTGAGACAGAGTCTCACTCTGTCACCCAGGTTGGAGTACAGTGGCACACTCTTGGCTCATTGCAACCTCTGCCTCCCAGGTTCAAGCAATTCTCTGCCTCAGCCTCCTGAGTATCTGGGATTACAGGCACCTGCCATCACGCCTGGCTAAATTTTTTGTATTTTTTTTTAGTAGAGACAGGGTTTCACCATTTTGGCCAGGCTGGTTTTGAACTCCTGACCTTGTGATCAGGAGTACTGATCACAAAGTGCTGGCATTACAGGCCTGAGCCACCACGCTCAGGTGGTGAGATGGAGTGTTGCTCTGTTGCCCAGGTTGGAGTGCAGTGGCGCAATTTTGGCTCACTGCAACCTCCGCCTCCCAGGTTCAAGTGATTCTCCTGCCTCAGCCTCCCGAGTAGCTGGGACTACAGGCATGTGCCACCATGCCCAGCTAATTTTTTATAGTTTTAGTAGAGACAGGGTTTCACTGTATTAGCCAGGATGGTTTCAATCTCCTGACCTTGTGATACGCCTGCCTTAGCCTCCCAAAGTGCTAGGATTACAGGCATGAGCCACTGCGCCCAGCCTAGTTTTGTTCCATTTAAGGACAGACAGGAAGAGATTAAACTGGGGGTTCAAGAGGAATCCGGGGGACCTGGCTCTAGGCAAGAAAAAATTAAAACAGAACAGTCTCCCACCTGAGTCCCCCACCAGACCCAGGCTGTGGTGCCCAGCCAAGGTACTGAGGGCCCAAAGAGCTGGCTCCCCTCTGGGCTCACCACAGACCAGCTGAGAGATGTCCCCGCTTCCTGGAGTAGAAAATAAGTCAAACAGAACTACTTCTAGGGCCATGAGGATTGAAGGAGGTAACACACCCAGCAGAGGGCCAGGCTCCCTGCATGCTCTCCAGGACCCTACTAATGACATTTTCCTCTTACAATAGTTGCCCTCGGCACTCTGATGACCAAGGGCCTTGGATGGACTTGAAGTGTTCACCTTTTTGTCGGAAAACATTTGCACGTGAGGTAGTATGGCAGAGCGAGAAGCACGGGTCCTAGAATCAAGGGCTTTTGGTGCAGATCCTGGCTCTGCAGCCAGTGGCTGCCTAAGTTTGGGCACATGATTTCAGCTCTCTGAGCCTAGGCTTCCTCCTGGATAAAATTGGGATAACAGTGCCTGCCCCAAAAGTTGTTGTGTTCAGTAAACCTATGCTGAAGGGCTCAGCACTGCTCCCCGCACGTGGCTGGAGCTTCGTGCACGTTCAGTCTGGTTGCTTCTTCCCATTAGTGTCTTGAAGCAGACACACAGATCGTGTTCTCTGCTTTCCAGGTGAGGCTCAGAGAGATGAGGGACTAAAATGCCTACTTTTATGCAGAAGATGCCAGCCCCAAAATGACTGATCTGCGGGCTGCCCCTGCCTGTCTCCACCCCACTCTTTTTTCTGAGGCAGAGTCACTCTGTTGCCCTGGCTGGAGTTCTATGGCGTGATCTCAGCTCACTGCAACCTCCGCCTCCAGGGTTCAAGCAACTCTCTGCCTCAGCCTCCCAAGTAGCTGGGATTACAGGCACACACCACCACACTCAGCTAATTTTTGTATTTTTAGTAGTGGCAGGGTGTCGTCATATTGGCCAGGCTGGTCTTAGACTCTTGACTTCAGGTGATTCGCCCGCCTCAGCCTCCCAAAGTGCTGATATTACAGGCGTAAGCCACTGCACCCGGCCTTAATATTTCTTTTCTTTCTTTCTTTTTTTTTCCTGTTCCCCTGACTCTAGAACTTAAGTTGATGGTGTCTCCTTAGTCCCTCTCTTACCATTTAGCAGAAAATCAGTGCAGGGAGATCTTTTTCCTCAATCCACAAAGGCAAGGGGTGGACTCTGTGGCTGGCAGTGCCCCCCCTCATCACCAGCCATAGATGTCTTCCATTGCTCTGGGTGCTGGCCCGCTCCCAACACTTCAGCAGGGTTCACTGGGTTAGAATGAAGGAGAGGAGTGACCCACCCAGGAGTCAGGACAGGGGCGTGGGGTCCCAACACAGCACTCACCACTTGGGGCAGCAGGGACAGCTCTTCTCTTCTCTGGCATTCACCTTTGAAATTTGAACTCTGGCATTAAACTTTGAAATTAAAGTTTGAGACTGAAGTTCCCCTAGCTCTGATATTATATATATATATATAATATATATATATATAATATATTATATATATATATTATATAATATATTATATATTATATATTTTTAATATAATATTTATATATATTATATATTTTATATATATAAAATATGTATATATATTATATAATATATTATATATAATTTTGGGGGGGGCCACCTGAGAAGGAAAACAAATCCCCAAATATGACACCTGCGTGGTACTATACATGCAGAAAACGGCACCCCTCCCTTCCATGAGATTCCTCCATGTACTTAGGGATTGCCAAGTTGGGTGGAGGGGCTGGTTGTGCCAAGGTCTGGACAATCCAGCCCTGGGGCTCAAGGTTTTCATCCAGATGGAGTCACTTCTACTGAACCTTTTTTTTTTGGACACACTGTCCCTTTAATTCTCATGATAATCCCAAGAAGGAGGTGGCAGTTATCTTTATTTCAGCAGATGGGAAAATTGAGGCAGAGAAAAGTGCTATGACTTGTCCCAAGTCACCTAGTGGTTAAGCAGGGGTGTAGGTTAGCCAGGCACGGTGGCTCATGTCTGTAATCCTAGCACTTTTGGAGGCTGAGGTAGGTGGATTAACTGAGGTCAGGAGTTCGAGACCAGCCTGGCCAACACGGTGAAACCCTGTCTCTACTAAAAATACAAAAAATTTACCAGGTGAGGTAGCACGCACCTGTAATCCCAGCTACTTTGGAGGCTGAGGCAGGAGAATTGCTTGAACCCAGGAGACAGAGGTTGCAGTGAGCCAAGATCATGCCAGTGTACTCCAGCCTTGGCTACAGAACGAGACTTTGTCTCAAAGAAAAAAGAAAAGAAAATCAGGGGTATAGGCTCTGCTCAGGTCTGTGTGGCCCCGGAGCCATCCTCTCTCCAGGACACCAAGCTGAACCTCATCCCCAGTCCCCCACCCATTTCTCAACATCTGAGAATTGAGAAAGCAGATCAAACATGCTGTTGCTCTGTGACCTTGAAGCCCTGTAGCAGCCTGGGGAACAATAAGGACTTCAGTACTTGGATGTAAGACAAATTTTGTTTGTTTGTTCACTCATTTGTTCTTGAGACAGGGTCTTGCTCTGTTGCCCAGGCTGGAGTGCAGTTGCATGATCACAGCTCACTTCAGCCTTGACCTCTTGGGCTCAGGTAATCCTCCCACCTCAGCCTCCTGGGTAGCTTGGACTGCAGGCATGTGCCACCACGCCTGGCTGAACATTTTTATTTTTTGTAGAGAGGGGGTTTCACCATGTTGCCCAGGCTGGTCTCAATCTCCTAGGCTCAAGTGATCTCCCACCTTGGCCTCCAGAAGTGTTGGGATTCCAGGCATGAGCCACTGCTCCTGGCCATAAGACAAAGTTTTGTCTCTGAATCCAATTGGTATTCACCTGGCTAAGACATGTGTCTTGCTTTCTTTCTATAGTTGATATCCTTCCTACCACTGCCCAGACCACCAAGAAGTCCACCCCCAAGAAGACAGTGTGCCGGTTACCCAGGCCAGAGACCCGGAAGGGTGAGTTCCCTAACCCTCTGCACCCTCAGAAGCAAGACAGACACCCTCCTGCCTTCCCTCCCTCCCCTCTTCCTTCCCCAGGCGCTTGCCAAATGTTGACACTAGGGCCTATCTCCCCGGCCTGAGCTAGAGTCAGAAAGGACGCTGAGTGTGACAGCAGTTCACAGTCTCATGGGAGACAGATTTGTAACTTGTCACTGGACAAAGCTTAATGGCGGAGACGTCCACCCACACACCTGCACACAAATGTCCACAGTTTCGTTATTCATAGTAGCCCAAAGTGGAAACTACCCAAACATCCACCAGATAATGAGTAGATTAACAAAGTGCGGTATATTTATTATCACGGAATATTATTTGGCCATATTAAGGAGTAAAGTAAAAGAAGCCAGTCACAAAAACCGATATACTATGTGATTCCATGATGACAGAATGTCCAGCATATGACCCTCTGTAGAGACAGAAAGTAGATTGGTGGCTGCCTAAGGCTAGGGGCTTGGGAAATAAATAGGGAGTGATTCCTAATGGATATATGGTTTCTTTTTAAGGGAATTTAAACATTTAAAATTACATTACGGTGGCTGGGCGAGGTGGCTCACGGCTATAATCCCAGCACTTTGGGAGGCCGAGGCGGGTGGATTACCTGAGGCCAGGAGTTTAAGACCAGTCTGACCAACATGGTGAAACCCCGTCTCAAAGAAATAAAAAATAAAAATAAAATTACATTATGGTAATGGTTGCACAACTTCATGAATGCACTAAAAACCATGACATTGTACACTTTAAACAGGGGGACATCATATGTAAATTATAATTCAATAAAGCTATTAATGAACAAAAAGTCCACTCAAAGGACCAGCACTTTAAATGTTTCCGGTTTTGGCCAGATGTGGTGGCTCACACCTGTAATCCCTGCATTTTGGGAGGCCAAGACAGGTGGATCGCCGTGAGGACGGGAGTTAGAGACCAGTCTGGGCAACATGGTGAAACTCTGTCTCTATGAAGGTATAAAAAAATTAGCTGGGCGTGGTGGCACAAGCCTGTACTCCCAGCTACTCAGGAGGCTGAGGCAGATGCCTTGAGCCTGGGAGATGGAGATTGAAGTGAGCCGAGATCCTGCCACTGCACTCCAGCCTGGGTGACAGCCAGAGCCTGTCTCAAAAAAAAAAAAAACATACCAGTTTTACTACCTAACAGAGGATCCAGTACACAGTATGTGCTTGTTAATGAATACATGTTTGTTTGCAAATGAACGCATTTGCTTCTCTTTTTTTTTAATTAATTAATAAATTAATTTTTAAGCCAGTCAAATTTAGCAGTGAGGGGTTGCACATTTGCTTCTCTATGCTAAGCCAGACACCTCGGCTGTAATGTATGCGCGTGCACGCACACACACACACACACAGAGGCACACATGTCCCCCGACCCCTGCAACACACACACTTTCTTTCCTTAAACCCGTCAGCCCAAATATGTTTCTGGAAAAATACTGCTCTCAGCACAGCAAAAGTCACTGGTGACAAACAGAAAGTATCATCTGCTGCTACCCAGAGAACAAACCACAAGCTGTTCCATGAGCGCTGCCGCGTGTGCTCGGTTTGCTTCGTGTTAAATATTTTAACTACCAGAAGGCATCGAGGTGGATACCGAATAGGATCTGGGAGACCTGGGTGGAGGGCTGCTGCCACATGAGGTCACAGGAAAGGAAAATCAGAACCAGCACACAGAAGGGTAAAAAGTCTTACAAAGCTTAAGAGTGACCTTGTTTTACAAAGTCCCATGCCCTAACCCCTTCACCTAAAGGCTATCAGGCAGGCTACAATGAAAAGGATATACAAATACAATGGGGCCAATGAGAGGGGGGTGCAAAAACTGGCTGTGTGCTGCAGCTCTGGGGAACCCAGCAACATCAGTTTAAACAAAGGGAAGACCCCAAGTTGTATGGCACCCCAACCCTGCTGAAAGAAAGAAACAACCTGGAACCACACGAAGAAACCTTCATCCTAGTGCTAAACTCTAGGAGCAAGCTGCTCTGTTCATCTTCATGTGAGGACCGCTGACTGACGGCAAACTCAGTTGTACTTTTACAAATAATGAGGAAAACAAAGGTCTTCAGATTTCTTGAATCATTTCTTTCTTTCTTTCTTTCTTGCTTTCTTTTTTTCTTCTTCTTCTTCTTTTTTTTTTTTTTTTTTTTTTTTTTTTGAGACAGAGTCTCTCTCTGTTGCCCAGGCTGGAGTGCAGTGGCGTGATCTTGGTTCACTGCAACCTCTACCTCCCGGGTTCACGTGATTTTCCTCCTTCAGCCTCCCAAGTAGCTGGGATTACAGGCACCTGCCACCATGCCCAGCTAATTTTTGTATTTTTAGTGGAAATGGGGTTTCACCACGTTAACCAGGCTGGTCTTGAATTTCTGACCTCAGGTGATCCACCCACCACAGCCTCCCAAAGTGCTAGGATTACAGGCATGAGCCACGGTACCTGGCCTCTTGCATCATTTCTTATACCAACTCTCAGTAAAATCCCAAGGCAAAATGCAAACCAAACATTAACAGGTTATTAAGAATAACCCGGATGTGTGTGAAGGTGGCCAAGTGGCGTGGGGCTGGGAATGGGTGTGAGAAAAGTAGGTGAAGGTTGTTCTGAGAAGACCAGCCCTGGGTCAGTGTAGCCTAGTGGCAAGTCTGTCAGGCCTAGGTCTGAATCTCTGTCTACCACTGCCTGAACCATGAGACACTGAATAGGTGAGTCAGCCTCTAAACCTCAGTTTCCTCATCTGTAAAATGAGGATGCTTACCCAACTAAAGGGGACGCAGGATTAAATGAGATGCAATCATACAGCAGGCACTCCGAGTTCGTGGGGCATCCACACAGACCTCAGAGCCTGTTGTCATGAATGATGGGCCACTGAGAAGGGGCTGCCCCTGATGCTTAGGGCTGTTCCTGAGACAACATCCTTAAGTGCTGGGGGACAATTTCTAAACCACTGACTCAGAAGCCGGTTGCTGTGATCCAGAGCTCAGGAGCTGAGTGGAGAGAGCACGATAAGGAAGGCTGGGCTGGGGGTGTCGCTGGTGTGCCTCTGGCCAGTGGTCCCTTACCCAAGCACATTATTTGTGGCAGCAGCTTTTCCTGGAGAGTCACATTTTGGATGGGAGACAGTGCTTCAGAGGAGATCTGTAGCTATATTGCTGGCCTCCACAGTGTTTGTTTGTTTGTTTGTTTGTTTGTTTTAACCTGAGGCGGAGTTTCACTGTTGTTACCCAGGCTGGAGTGTAATGGCACCATCTTGGCTCACTGCAACCTCCGCCTCCTGGGTTTAAGCAATTCTCCTGCCTCGCCTCTCGAGTAGCTGGGACTACAGGTGTGCACCACCATGCCTAGCTAATTGTTGTATTCTTAGTAGAGATGGGTTTCACCTTTTTGGCCAGGATGGTCTCAATCTCTTGACCTGGTGATCCACCTGCCTCGGCCTCCCAAAGGCTGGGATTATAGGTGTGAGCCGCCATGCCCGGCCTCCACAGTGTTCTTAACCATGACCTCTCCTCAGGAGGGAGCCCTGCTGCCCTGTACATCCCTGCAACCTGCACCCACCTTCATTACAGTTTTTAAAAATTTAGTTGAGATATAATTTGCATGCCACAAAGTTAACCCATTTTAAGCATACAAACTTAATGATTTTGGGTAACTTTACTCAGTTGCGCAATCAGTACTGTAATCTAGTTTTAGAAGGTTTTCCTCACCCCAGTAAGATTCCCTGTGCAGCCACTAATCTATCTTCCGCCTCTGCAGATTGGCCTGTGTGGGACGTTTCACAGAAGTGGAATCGTACATCATGGGGTCTTTTATGCTTGGCTTCTTTCACTTAGCACCATGTTTTGGTTCATTCAGATGGGAAGAACAAATAGGAGGTGAGATTGAGCCCGACAGATGCCCTCAGCATCTCAGAAGGGCCGCTCATCCAGCCTCCCACCCAGTGTGTGAATCTTCGCCACACCCCAGCCATCCAGCCTTGGCTTGTTTCTCTCCAGTGATAGTGGGCTCCCTCCCATGTAGCAGCCCGCTCCCTTCCCTTCCATACCACTCATGCCCTCATGCAGCTGAGGTGGGACCTGCAGGGGCTTGGAACTCAGAGGATCTGTGTCCACACCCTGGTCCTGCCTTTCAGTAGCTGGGTGACCTTGGGCATATAATTTAATCTCTTTGAATCTTGTGTGTGTGTGTGTGTGTGTGTGTGTGTGTGTGTGTGTGTGTGTTTGAACTATGAAATGAGAAAAAAATAATGGCAAGCCGGGCATGGTGGCTCGTGCCTGTAATCCCAGCACTTTGGGAGGCCAAAGCAGGCAGATTATGTAAGATCAGGAGTTCGAGACCAGCCTGGCCAACGTGGGGAAACCCTGTCTCTACTAAAAATACAAAAATTAGCTGAGCGTGGTGGCAGGCGCCTACAATCCTAGCTACTACGGAGGCTGAGGCAGGAGAATCACTTGAACCCAGGAGGTGGAGGCTGCAGTGAGCCCAGATCTCGCCATTGCACTCCAGCCTGGGTAACAAGAGCATAACTCCATCTCAAATAAATAAATAAATAAATGAATAAAATAGCAATACCTTTCTTCCTCACAAGATGGAAGTTTGCATTTGGTATGTACTTAGCACATTCAGTAAAAATTCTCTCCATTCCTTGACATCCACAATGCTTTTCGATTTTCTGAACCTCAAGGCCAAAGTTGCAGCCTTACCCTTTCACCTGTGGACCCTGGCTCTGCCCCTCAGCTACTCAAGTGACCAGTCACAGGGGCCTGAAGGGTGTCAGAGAAGAATTTGGGGCATTGATAGTGTCAAGTCTGCTGTTTAAATAGCACACTAAATGGACAAAGGAACAGATAGTCAACTCATAGAAGAAAAATCATACAAGTGGCCAATATATAAAAATAGGCCAAAGCTCATAAGTAACTAGGGAATTTAAGTGAAATAGCACTTTCCCCAGATTGACTGGCAAACACTAAAACACTTCCATGGTATCAAGCATCAGCAGAGCGCACTATTGGTGGGTGGGGATGGAAATCTTTTTTGGAAGGCATTTGACAGAATCTGTCACAACTTAAAGTGGACAAAGTCTATGGTTTTAGTAGTTTCTGTTCTCAGTATTTGCCTCAGGAATTCACCTTTGTAAGGAAATACACAGGATGTTTTCTGCAGAGTTCTTTTTAAAAGTAAAACACAGGAAACAAAATGCCCATTGATGACCGTAACTCACGGCACATTCATACTGTCAGATGTTACCCTGCTGCAAAAAAGAACATATTGATTAAGTGAAGGAATAAAGGCATGTTGAAAAAGTGAAGGTACAAAAGAAAAATTTGTACAGTATAACCCACTGTATATGGTTTTTAAAACTATATGTATCTAAGGCCAGGTGTAGTGGCTCACTCCTGTAATCCCAGCACTTTGGGAGGCTGAGGCAAGCTGATCACGAGGTCAGGAGATCAAGACCATCCTGGCCAACATGGTGAAACCCTGTCTCTACTAAAAATACAAAAATTAACCAGGCGTGATGGTGGGCACCTGTAATCCCAGATACTCAGGAGGCTGAGGCAGGAGAATTGCTTGAACCCAGGAGGTGGAGGTTGCAGTGAGCCAAGATCACTGCATTCCAGCCTGGGCAACAGAATGAGACACTATTTGAAAAACAAAACAAACAAAGAAACAAAAACTATAATATAATCTATAAAAATTACATAGGCATGCAAAGAGAAAGTTACTAAATTATCAATGGTGATTAATTCTGTGAAGGAGCAAAGATGTCAGTGAGCACTCTAATCCTATATTTAAATCTCTTAGAATGAAAATATATTCAGCCATTTCTTGTGAAATTAAAAGTTCTTAAAATAAATAGTAAAAGTCTCATTACCAGGCATGAAAATTATCTACTTCTTAAAAATGTGGATGTAGGACATGACATTTTATATATAAAATGATCTTGGCCAGGCGTGGTGGCTCACGCCTGCAATCCAAGCACTTTAGAGGCCAAGGTGGGCAGATCACCTGAGGTTGGGAGTTCAAGACCAGCCTGACCAATGTGGTGAAACCCCGTCTTATTAAAAAAAAAAAAAATCTCAAAGATGTTTAAAGTGCATACAAAGACTAGACCCGTACACGGTGGCTCACGCCTGTAATCCCAGCACTGAGGCGGAGGTGGGTGGATCACTTGAGGCCAGGAGTTTGAGACCAGCCTGGCCAACAGTGTAAAACACTGTCTCTGCTAAAAATACAAAAATTATCCGGGCATGGTGGCACACACCTGTAATCCCAGCCACCCGGGAGGCTAAGGACGAGAATAGCTTGAACCCGGGAGACAGAGGTTGCAGCGAGCCGAGAACACGTCACTGCACTCCAGCCTGGGTGACAGAGCTAGACTTTGTCTCAAAAAAAGAAAAAAAAAAAAAAAAAAAGACTTGAGGAAAAATACATTACATCAAAATGCAAATGGTGGTATTCTCTGGGAGGTGGGGCTTCCAGTTGATTTTTCCCTCCTTGTATTTTTTTTTTTTTTTTTGAGACGGAGTTTCGCTCTTGTTACCCAGGCTGGAGTGCAATGGCGCGATCTCGGCTCACCGCAACCTCCGCCTCCTGGGCTCAGGCAATTCTCCTGCCTCAGCCTCCTAAGCAGCTGGGATTACAGGCACGTGCCACCATGCCCAGCTAGTTTTTTGTATTTTTAGTAGAGACGGGGTTTCACCATGTTGACCAGGATGGTCTCGATCTCTCGACCTCGTGATCCACCCGCCTCGGCCTCCCAAAGTGCTGGGATTACAGGCTTGAGCCACCGTGCCCGGCCTCCTTCCTTGTATTTTTCTGCGTGTCTCGTGCAGAAAAATGTTCAGTGTTGAACACATGTCACGTGTTTTTTCCAGGCCCACTTTGTAGCCCCATCACCCTCAGCCTGCTGGTGGCTGGCATCCTGGTTCTGCTGGTGTCCCTGGGAGTGGCCATCCACCTGTACTGTGAGTTGTCATTTTGCGAGTCATTGGGGTGTCCCTATTTGCTGTTTGAAGTGTCCCTGGGATATTTTCTTCTCTAGGGAAGCAGAGCAGGTGGCAGCCTGGTGGGAATTTACCCCAGAGAACTGATGGTATTTCCCAAGGTAGTTCTTGGCCTAGGGCTCTGCAGCCAAAGCCAAAGACCACCCTGTCCTTGGAGTCAGACAAACCTAGGTTTGAATGCAACATGGCTGTTTCCTGATCCAGTGCCCTGGTCTCTCCGAGCCTCAGCTGCTTCAGATGGTGGTAGGACATTACCTACCTCCCAGAGTTGCTGTTTGTAAATTCCTGCCCCAAGTGCCTAGCACATGGCATGTGTCAGTAAGTGGGAACTCAGGTGAGCAGTTGAGACCAAACTCCAATACCCAGAAGAGATTGCCTATGGGATTTGTGTTGTGTTCCTAGAAGCTAGAAATCCTCTTCCCGCCACCCATATTGATGAGGCTGTAGGAAACTCAGAAATGACTGCTGCTCCCAGCCGCCCCAGAGATGGGACTGTCTCCTTCTATGGCCCTCACGCCAGGCTCTGCACAGCATTGGGTTCACAAAAAAGACAGGGAGCCGGAGGGGAGCTCCACGTGGCTGACCAAGAGCCTAGAGCCCAGATTCTGCCCCGGTTCTTCTGCTCACCTGCGCCACTTCTAGCAAGCCCCTTCCCCTCTCTGAACTTCTATAAAATGGGCAGGCAGGACAGCAGGGGCATGAACTATATCAGTAGCTCTTTACTTTTATAGGTCACAGATCCCTTTGAACATACAATGAAAATTATGGAGCTTTGCCGGGCGCAGCAGCTCACGCCTATAATTCCAACACTTTGGGAGGCCGAGGCAGGCAGATCACCTGAGGTCGGGAGTTCAAGACCAGCCTGACCAATGTGGAGAAATCCTATCTCTACTAAAAAGGCAAAATTAGCTGGTCATGGTGGCAAATGCCTATAATCCCAGTTATTCGGGCGGCTGATGCAGAAGAATCACTTGAACCTGGGATGGGGAGGTTGCGGTGAGCCGAGATCGTGCCATTGAACTCCATCCTGGGCAATAAGAGTGAAACTCTGTCTCAAAAAAAGAAAAGAAAAAAGAAAATTATGGACCTCTTCCCACAGAAATGTACCCAAGTGCATACATTTGCCTAAAATTGTTCCCCACAAAGGGGTTCATGCACCCCATTCTAAGAACCCCATAAATTTCAGTGGTTTGCAAACTCTTTTTCTTTTCTTTTCTTTTCTTTTTTTTTTTTTTTTTTTTTTGAGACAGAGTTTTGCTCTCTCACCTAGGCTGGAGTGCAGTGGCGCGATCTCGGCTCACTGCAACCTCCACCTCCCGGGTTTAAGCAATTCTCCTGACTCAGCCTGCCAAGTAGCTGGTATTACAGGTGCCCATCATCACACTCAGCTAATTTTTTGTATTTTATTAGAGACAGGTTTCACTATGTTGGCCAGGCTGGTCTCAAACTCCTGACCTCATGATCCACCCACCTCGGCCTCCCAAAGTGCTGGGATTACAGGCATGAGCCACTGTACCTGGCCTGCAAACTCTTTTGATCAAGGAAAGACCTCACTGCTAAAATAATTTGAGGCACATGTAATAACATATATAAAATATTAAGTAAGTGAATACAGCTATTTGAATATTATAAAGTAAATGCAGCAGTTGGCTGTATTTACTTATTTAATATTTTCTGTATGTTATTAAATGTACTTCAAAAATAAAAAGTAAGCTGGCCGTAGTGGCATGTGGCTGTACTCAAGAGGCTGAGGAGGGTGGATCACTAGCACCCAGGAGTTCAAGTCTAGCCTAGACAACACAGTAAGACCCCGTTCCTAAAAAATAAATAAAAATCAAAAGTAATAAAGGCTGAGATCCAACTGTAAATAGATATGCTTCTGTTTTCTTCTTACCTCCCAGTGGGAAATCTTGCTCACCCTCTGAATGCAGTTGCTCTAGCCTGAGACTGCTGTCTGTAGGACCTCGCACGACTGACTTGCTGTGAAGGGCAAGCAGGTGTGTTGAAGGACACAGACTCTGCAGCTGATTAACTGAGTTTGAATTCTGTCTTTCCCACTTACTAGCTGCATGACTTTGGGCATGTTACCCAGTAACTCACTCACTCTGCATCTCAGTTTCCCCGTATATAAAATGGAGATCTTAAAAGTAGTTTCCAACTCAGGTTCTCAGTGAGCATTAAGAGGATTAAAATGTGTGAAGTGTTTGGGCCAGGATCTGGGACCACGGAGGTAGGCTGAGGTGTCGGCTGCCCCTGTGACCATCTTCCTTGGCCTCTGGGGCTCAGCGCAGTGACCCACAGCCCACACTGACTGGCGCCCTTGTTTTCCTCTTCCAGGCCGGCAGAGGAGAGCCCGGCTTCGTTTCATGAAACAGTAAGTATGTGACGTGGGTGTGGCCCTGGGTTCCTCAACCCCTGCTGCAGCTCGCAGCCTACAACCGCAGCAAGGAGCCAAAGTCAGAACTCGCCTTCAGAAGATCATAGACTCAGCCTGGCATGGTGGTACACACCTGTAGTCCCAGCTGGGAGGCTCAAGCAGGAGGATCACTTTAGCCCCGGAGTTCAAAGCTGCAGTGAGCTATGATGGTACCACTGCACTCCAGCCTGGGCAACAGAGGAAGAATTCACTTAAAAAAAAAAAAATCAGACTGTATAAATAGATGGGGTGATAGAGTTTGGACACCTGAGAGATAACCTAAATAAACAAACAAAAACCTGAGCAATCACTTAAATGTATTTCAAGAACACCCTTAGCCCTCCTGAGGAAAGCAAGCAGGCTTTGCATGCAGGTGTTATTCCACCCCCTTGGTCCCGTATGAGATAAGGGAGTATCACCCCCATTTTACAGATCAATGGAGAGACTACTGGGATAGGGTTAGGAGGCCAGGCGTTTCCACCAGCCATTGCTCTCTTCCCTAGGAGCTGCCTTTGTCCCATTTGCCACCCTCGACCCCACCTGGGTCCCAGGAGTTGGCAGAGTCACATAGCACTCTTGGGGCCCACTGAGCTGAGAAAGCTTCTGTACTTTTGCTGGGCTGGGCTGGGACCTTTAGCGGTGGCCGTTTAGCCACCATCTTTGCAAGTTGCTTTGCCCTGGTAGGGCAGCGACATTGGGTCCTGAGTCTTTCATGAGGCTGTTGGAAGCCATCCTGGGTGGGGGCAACGTTCCTGCATTCAATGTTTGTTCCTCAAAACAGAGACTGTTTCACATCTGCCTATCCAGTTAATTACATTTGATCCTCAGAACAACCCCCTCTGTACAGAAATGTTTGGGAGAGCAAAAGTACACACCTCTAAATTGAAGAGGGCAACAGGGCCTCGTGCTCAAGAGCTCTGGCTTTAGGGGGAGATGGAGACCGGTTTGAATCCCATCTGCCAATCACCAACCATGTGACAGTCAGCAAGTCACTTCCCCTCTCCAAGCTTCGGATTTGTCATCTGTAAAGTGAGCTAACAATGCCGATCTCATGGTCAGTGTGAGGACTCTCTGGGGTACTGCCCTTAGACCATGCGGCCCCAGACCCCTGGAGTTGGAGCACAAGCTCAAGTCACTTCAGTAAATTCAACTCTGCAAGTGCAACAACAGGCAAACAAAATGGATTTCTAAATACTCTAAAATTGCAGTAGCCATTACTATACACTCTGCATTGTTGTACACATTATATTTATACTTACTGAGAGTTGCTTAATCATGCCTGCTAGATTTTATGAGCAATTTTCAATGATATTTTGGTTGTGTGCAATTTTCACCTCGTGTGTTGGATTTAGAAGCTGCCCCCTACCCAAGAGATAATAACTTGAGTGCAGCTGTCTCAGGCCAGACCTCTAGAAAGTTCCATTCAAGGCTGGTAGCTCATGCCTGTTATCCCAGTACTTTGGGAGGCTGAGGCGGGTGGATCGTCTGAGATCAGGAGTTTGAGACCAGACCAGCCTGCCCAACATGGTAAAACCCCATTTCTACTAAAAATACAAAAAAAATTAACCCTTTGTGGTGGCGAGTCCCTGTAATTCCAGCGACCCAGGAGGCTAAGACAGGAGAATCGCTTGAACCAGGGAGATGGAGGTTGCAATGAACCAAGATTGCACCACTGCACTCCAGCCTGGGTGACAGAGCGAGATTCCATCTCAAAAAAAAAGTTCCGCTCAAAATCTCTCCCATGGTGACCTTTCATGGAGAAAAAGTCCCTCCCTGGGTACTAACTGTGGTCTGTCCCCACCCCTTCATTTTGACCTGCTCACCAGTGATCTTGACGCCAGTTTTGGGCAGTGTTGGGTGTGGTGAGGGGTGCTGGATGCAGGACCTCATGCTTTTGCAAGCCCAGGATCAGCTTGAGGCAGGGAAGGGGCTCTGGGTGGTCATGGGGGGATCCTGAACCCCCGACTCTCTTCATTTCAAACAGCTGTACTCTCATCTATTGTCTGGGCTTATACTTACCTATAACATATCATTTGAACAAAAAAGTTTGTCGCTTTAAAAAAGTTTGAAAACCACGTCTGTTTGCTATCATGATCCGGGCTGGAGGAAATAGTCCCTAGTGTTCACAGATCAGAGCTGCGATTTGAGGTAGATGTTACCCAGCCTCTGACTGTCCTTAGGAAGTCATCCCATCCACAGGCTAATTTCTTCTGGCTCCTTGATGTAAATTTGTGATTCTCCTAGCTTATCATAGAGGTACTACAGGAAGTAACACAATTCAAAGCTACAGTTCTTTGAGCTGCAGTTTTGTTTTGTTTTGTTTTTTCGCCTTAATCTTTTTAATGACTAAGATGGGCCCTAGAAACATACTAACAAAAAACATACTAACAAACCCCCCGCCTCCCCCCGCTGCCCACCCCGTCCACTTGGAGTAGAACTCTGCCATTTGTCTCTGTTACAGGAAATTCAATATCATTTGCCTGAAAATAAGTGGTTTCACAACTTGCTGTTGTTTTCAGGTTTTACAAATGAGAAGAGAATACGGTTCTGGTGTCCTGCTACAAAAAGACATTGGTCAGTAACGAGCGTGATGTGGAAAAATGGGAGAAGGGACACATTTGACCCTGGAGAGTTCACTGGCTGCTGAAGCTGCCTGCTTTTCACTGCTGCAAGTTCTTTTTGTGTGTGATATGCATGGGAGCAACTTGTTCGTGGGTCATCGGGAATGCTAGGGAGAAGGCTTCATTGCCCCCAGGGCACTTCACAGAGCATGCTGGAGGACCCAGGAGGAAATGCCACCCATGCCGCCACTTCTGGCTCCTGGACTTTCCCTGGGCTGAGACCTTTCGTGATCGCCGTTTAGCCTGAATCTTGGCAAGTTGCTTTGCCCTGTTAGGGCAGTGACATTGGGTCATGGGTCTTTAGTGGAATGATGCTGGGTTGGCTCCCCCTTGGACTTCCCAGGCTGGGGCTAACCTTCCTACAGAGAGGCCAGGCCCAGTTTGGGAATGAGGCTTCTCGAGAGGAGCTGTCCAGTTCCCAGAAGCGTGTCAGTCTCTGAGGGCTGCCTTTGGGGCTGGGAACTTGGGTTTGAGGACAGGAGTTCCCTTTATCGTCCACTAGGAGGTTTCTCAGCTTCCACTTCTACTCTCCCATGGCTTAGTTCTTTATTCACTTTCTGCTCTTTTAATACAAATGTCTTGGTTGTACAAATAAAGTTCCAGGTTAAAGATACAAACGGCTTCTGTGACATAAACATGCAAAAGCCCATCTACAGCAAAGCCATCAATGCTCAGTGGAACAGAAACCACAAGGACAAAATTCGTACATCCTCCTTTTGCACCCGAGATCTTCGTTTCTCCAATGTTGTAGGTGTAGAGAGTCCTAGAGAGGCGAGGAAGTGCCCAGGGCACCCAGAGCCAGGCTGCCTGTGCCCCAGGCCCATCCCCTGGCCTACTCCCAAGCTGAACTTGTTCGTTTCTACGGCAGGTTGAACCCCAGGCATCCCTGGCCTCAAGTCAGGCACCAAAGAGAAGGTAGGAGGCATCAGGGGTTCTGTCACGTCCATTCATTTTCTGATCGAGTCTTAGCCTTGACAGTCGGAGAAGGAAAATGCAAGGAGAAAGTGCTGAGCAGGAGTGGAGAGTGGAGAGCAGGACCTCGCGCCTGGGTTTGAAAAAGTGCCTGGGACCCATCTTAGCCACCCCCTACCTGAACTTTAGCAGTATAGGAGCTCTTGTACCATAAGACACTGCATTAACAGAAGCACCAGGCCCAAGGAGAACCCAGCCCCACCTGCTTTTCCCGACCAGCTCAAAGAAGGGCATGTTCAGAGACCTGTGACAGCTGCAGAGTGTAAGAAATGTTACCAAAAAACAGGACGGGAAAGACAACTCTGGGGAGGTGGCAGGGTGGCTGTCTCCTGGCATCTGGGGTACAGTCGCAGCAGAGGTATGGTGGGTGGAGTCAGAAAGGCATAGATGCAGTGTCCCCGGAAGGAGGGCCTGGACTGTAAGTTGTCCAGGTCCTTGGCATTTTGAACAAAGAACTGGGCAAAACGCACAAAGCAATAAAGGAATTAAAACAGGAATTAAAGTGAGAAAGCACCCACAAGGTGGGAGTGGGCCCTAGCAGGCGGCCCAAGGGCCCAATTGCAAAGTTTTCTGGGTTTAAGTACCCCTTTTGAGGCCCCTGTTGGCTACCCCTTATCTGGATGAAAGATTTGGTCTGTGGCTAATTAAAGGCTGAAGTGATGCCCTATGCGGATGAAGGGATAGTCCCATGCTTGGCCTGCAGTCAATCCAGGGCAGTCTCCCTTCCATCTGAGATGCGGCGGAAGGGGGAGGGCTGTAGGGAGAGTAGCCTTTGATCCTTGGTTCCTCAGTGTGGGGAGACAGGGTTTTCATTTTGGTTTAGCTTTAGGACATTTGCGTTAATTGACCTTAGACACCCTGCCCCCAGACCCAGGTATTTTCCTTTTGATCCAGCTTTGGGAAGTCAACACAAATTGACCGCAGATTCCCTGCCGTCAGACATTGGTGTTTCTCCTGATTTAGCACAAATTGGCCTTAGATTCCCTCCTCCAGACCTTATTCTCCTGCCTCAGCAAGAGATGCTCAAAAGAAGCAAAAGCTCTGCCATCCGCTCTGAGGACAAAGGACAGGCTGCCTTCCAAGGCTGAGGGGAGAGGGTTGGGGTCAGCTGGACCAGAGTCCTCTAAGGTTCATGTTTCAGGTGGGCTTCTTACCTGGGCCATCGCACATAAATAAGAGACTAAGGCCTGCAGTGCACACGGTCTGCCCTCCTTGAAGGCTCACATCCAGTGCTCAGCGGAAGTAAGAACAGGCCGCAAGGCCCCTTGTCCCACTGCAGGCTTTGATATTTGACTATCTCCCTGCTGCTGTCTCTGCAATTGCATGCACTTGTTTGCAAGTTCTCATGGGGTTTGGCTCGGGGCAGGGGTGGTTTGCGCTCCCCCGTCTGTTTTCTGTACAGCTGTCACCTGCCGAGGCGGGCTCAGCTCCGGCTGCCCAAGGAGCTAGAGCAGGCTGGGCTGCCAATGCTGGGGGCTGTGGTGAGAATGTCTGCACCCAGCACCCGAATTTTGTTTTGAAGAAGGAACAAACCTGATACCACCTTCTGTAGGGTCGTTATGATAAAATATACCCCCAAAACCCCATCCAGCCATCTTTTGACTAGCAATTCTACTTGTTGGCATTTATCTGAAAGAAACACATCAAAAAGCGGCATGCACAAAGAAATACGCATCAGATTGTTCCTTCTAGGGCTGCTTACTAGATAAAAATAGGAATTAATCCTAATGTCCATCAAAAGGGACTGGTCACATAAATTCAGATACAGTCTAATGAGGGGGTTTAGACAGCTGCTAAGGGATAAGCTAGATCCATATGTGCTGATAGCAAATGATGGTTATGACATATGCATATGTTTTTTAAATGTCTGTATAGATTATTCTCAATACAATACATGGTGCAATACGTGGTCACTGTTAAAATTCAAGCACAGAAGAAAACAAGCAAAACAAATATATGTTGTTAGAAGTCAGGATACAGTTACCCTTGGTCCAGTGGTGCTCATTAGGAGGGAGCATGAAGTTTGAAGGTCAGCGTTTCTGCCCCTCAATCTGGGAGTTACTTATATAAGTGTGTTTCATTAGTAAAAGTCATTAAGTTATACACTCAGATATGCTGACTTTATAGCTATGGATATAGTTGTATACTTCAACAAAGAGATTTTTTTTTAATCCAAGTACAGAAAATTGTAGAAATGTATAAGATTGGTATTTGGAAGTTTCTTCAGCCAACACATGGGATTACAGCTCACACCTGTAATCCCAGCTCTTTGGGAAGCCCACACAGAATGATCACTTGAGCTCAGGAGTTTGAGAGCAGCCTGGGAAACATAGCGAGACCTTGTCTTTACAAAAATTTTTAAAATTTTTCTGAGCACAATGATGTTTGCTTGTAGTCCCAGCTATTAGCGAGGATGAGGTGGGAGCATCTCCTGAGCCTGGGAGTTTGAGACTGCAGAGAGCTGTGATTGCCCCACTGTACTCCAGCCTGGGCAACAGAGCAAGACCCTGTTTCAGAAAAAAGAAAAAAAAAAGTTTCTTGTTCTTTTTTCTTCCTACATTTTTTAAAACATAAAATTTAAATATTGAGAATATAATACATAAAATAGAGAATATGGAAAATTAAATCCTCTAATATTGTTCTGCAGATTTGATCTTTTTTCTCTAAAAGTAAATCAAGGCCTCCAGGTATATGTGTTTGTATACGTACAGGAAAAGATCTGTTAGGATTTACTCCTAGCTGTTAATGGCAGTTATTTTGGGGAATTTCCACTACTGCTTTATACAGTTCCTTGTGTGAATTTTTACCTTACGTATTACTTTTGTAGTGGGGGAAAAAGCAATTCAAAATTTGGGAAAAAGAATCTCTGTCCATTGTTATAGTAAGAAATTGGAATCAACAAAAAACCCACAAATGAAAGATTTATTCATAAATTTAAAAAATCTGAACCATGGAAATGACCGTGAGGCAGGTCCAAGGTGGCCACACAGCACAGCCTGGGTCTTTACTAGCTGTAGACCTTGGGCAAGCTACATTTACAATTGCATTTGCTTGTCTGGAAGTTCGCGTGGCACTGGGCTAGTGGCAGGGGTGGTCTGCGCTCCAGCAACCTTAGGTGAGCCTGGTTTCTCCGCCCTGAAGGAGAATATCTATAATAGTTCCCTTTCTGTGTTTTTCTGTGGGCCTTAATGGGTCTGGGAGCAGCACTGGTGTCCCCTCCCCTCCCCCACACTCCTCTCAGTGGGAAGCCACCTGCAGGTGTGGAGCCCACCCGGGCCTGTTCAAAGGAAGAAGGGGGCTCTTACACCACCCCGCTCCCTTTCATCCTTACTCATCCCCGCCTCCGCCCCCACCCCGCAGCTTATGTCTCTGTCTGTAGGAAGTGGGCAACTTGTTTTCAGAAAGTGATCCCCGACCCCACCTGGGCTGCAAAGCTGATCTGAATCTACCACCTAGTCAAAGGGAAAGACAGAAAGAGTACTGTCTTCAGAGGCTTTCCAAAGTTGTGGAGGGCGAGGGATATTTCCTCTGTCACTTCTTGGGAAACCTCCTTCAATGCGTCACTGACACTCCAGAGACGGTGAGTCACTGGTTCCTGTAGTCCTCCCAGCTACATAACTCAATGCATCGACTCAAGCAGAAGGAAACCCTGCATTGGTTTGAGATTCACAGAAGCATGCATGACACGTGTGATTCCCGTAAAGCTGAAAGAAAAGTGCTGAAAAGGCGCTTACATCCTGCGCAGTACTGTTGGCCTTCCTGGATCCTGTTTTTCTCATTAGTTTACTGTCTTTCATCTGCAAGTACCCTTTTAGGATCTTTGCTTAGGCTTCTAAATTTAAATTTAAAAGGAAACCATGTCCATTTCTTTTTGTAAACTTTTTTTTTTTTTTTTTTTTTTGAGAAAGAGTCTCACTCTGCGTCAGGGGCTAGGCTGGAGTGCAGTGGCGCGATCTTGGCTCACTGCAACCTCCGCCTCCCGGATTCAAGCAATTCTCCTGCCTCAGCCTCCAGAGTAGCTGAGACTACAGGCGTGCGTCACTATGCCCAGCTAAATTTTGTATTTTTTTCAGTAGAGACGGGGTTTCACCATGTTGGCCAGGATGGTCTCGATCTCTCGACCTTGTGATCCACCTGCCTCGGCCTCCCAAAGTGTTGGGATTGCAGGCGTGAGCCACCACGAGTCTTTTACTGTTGCCCAGGCTGGTATGCAGTGGTGTGATCTTGGCTCCCTGCAACCGCCGCCTCCCAGGTTCAAGTGATTCTCCTGCCTCAGCCTCCCAAGTAGCTGGGATTACAGGCTTGCACCGCCAAGCCAAGTTAATCTTTTGTATTTGTAGTAGAGGCGAGGTTTCACTATGTTGGCCAGGCTAGTCTGAAACTCCTGATCCACCCACCTCAGCCTTCCAAAGTGCTGTGATTACAGGCATAAGCCACCATGCCTGGCGGGCTTTTTTTTTTTTTTTTTCCCTTTTCTTTTTAAGATGGGGCCTTGCTCTGTCATCCAGGCTGGAGTGCAATGACACACCCATGGCTCACTGCAACCTCTGTCTCCCAGGTTCAAGCAATCCTCCCACCTCAGCCTCCTGAGTATCTGGGACTACGGGCATGCACTACCACACCTGGCTAATTTTTTATATTCCTGGTAGAGATGGGGTTTCCCTGTGTCACCCAGGCTAGTCTTGAATTCCTGGGCTCAAGCAATCCATCCGCCTTGGCTTCCCAAAGTGCTGGGATTACATGAATGGGCCACAGTGCCTGGCTTTTTCATGCATTTTTAATTGTAGACCATTTCCACTCCTGTCCCTATTTATGACTGAACTAATACCCACAACTCTGCATTCAATTCTCCTCTTCCGTGTGTGTGTGTGTGTGTGTGTGTGTGTGTGTGTGTACAGAGTTTTGCTCTATTGCCTAGGCTAGTGTGCAGTGGCTGCCATCACAACTCACTGTAGCCTTGACCTCCCTGACTGAAATGAGTAGATGGGACTACAGGTGCACACCAGCATGCCAGGCTAATTTTTTTTTACTTTTAGTAGAGATGAGGTCTTACTATGTTGCCCAGGCTGGTCTCAAACTCCTGAGCTCCAGCGATCCTCCTACCTTGGCCTCCCAAAGTGTTGGGATTACAGGCGTGAGCCACCGTGCCCAATCCCTTAAGTCTCTTGATGCCAGTTCAAATATATCTATTTGGGGAAACTTCTGTGTGCCCAGCCAGCCCTGTGTTGGGACTAGGGGTGCGGCATGGCCAGGATAGACACAGTTGGGCCCCCACGGCCTGCAGTCTTGCTAGGTCTCAGTCCTCTCCCTACCACCCAGGGCCAACGTCTGTGGGGGTCCTCTGGCTCTTTCCTACGACCTGTACAAGTCACTTCTAGGCCTGAGACCTGAACTGAAATGAATGAATGAACAAAGCAAAAGGCTCAGACAGGAGGTCCTTAGGCCCCCACAAGCTGGAAGCACAGTCCTCTCTCTCTGCTGCCCCTCCC